AAAATAATAAATAAAAATGGGTGCAAATATTTAATATTAAATATTTTTAATTTTTTAATTTTGATGGATTTAAACCATTAAATTTGGATAAATATTGACGTTATTATTATGACGCTGAACATTTTTTCTTTCTAAAGAGTCTTCATCAAACTCTTGATTTTTAGTGTAATTATTGTGTTTATGAGACCTTAGTAATAGATTATGAGTAATGCTAGAAAAAAATCCCGCTAGAAGCTTTGTACTCCACCCAAAGGTTTGATATAAAAAAGTAATATTAATACCTGTGTCAACAAGTGTTAATATCAATTTTGCAACAAAGAATATACCCATTAGCCCAGACACAAAAGTTCCAATTGTCGTAAACCAACACCATAATTTAAATAGCTTATCTTCTACCATTTTTCCAAGCGTGTTTTCGTCTATCAAATATTTAAATTGCAGACCTTGATTAGTCGTATCATATCCCATAGATTGTCTGATTAAATTATTTGTGGCAGCTTTCACTTCTTGCGGGAACAATATATGCTGTTGAAAAGCTTTCATTGTGTCCTTTGTATATATACCGGCATTCATAAGAAAATCCGGACTTTTGTACGACCATGTCCAGGACGTGGATGGTTTAAGCTTTTGTGGTTTCTTAATTTCCTGTATGTTTGGTAGAATGGCAAACCAATCACCGCCCAATTCGAATGCAGGTGGTAGAAGTACATTGCAGTCCACCTGTGTTCCAAATTGTTGTAAAATATGTGTTTTGGGCGCCATAAATAATGTTTTGTTATTGTATAACACTGGTAGTTCGTTAAAACAATTTTTTTTTTGTGATATTTCAACGTTAACTTTTTTGCATTTGATTAAATAAATTATTTCACTGACTTTTATTGCCGTGAACCCTGGTCCACCGCCCATTAAATACGCAAACTCCGAAAGACTAGAAGACGCTAATGTGAGTCGTTGCTCTAGTAATTTTCTCTCTAGCTCACATTGTTTTAGTATTAAATCATTGTACAACGATGTAATCGTTGATTTAAAGAAATTTTCGACATAGACAAATTTAGTGTTTATGTAGGCTAATAAATCAGTGTTTTGAGCTGTTATAGTTTTTCGTGTAAAATAATTAAAAAATGTAGGTTCTGTTAAAATTAATAACTGCATATGTTCAGTCTGAATAACTGGGATTCCTGTGCAGGCGAAGGTTTTTAAGACTTTTTTTAAAGCAAAGACTATTTTGTATGTCTCCACAATATAAGTGTAAGTATTTGAAATGTCATCAATAGTATTTGACGTAATTAATGACGCTGGCCCATCATATAGGACACTGAAATCGTGTTCTTCACAGTTTATGTTACTGATTGACCAGATGGTTTCACCTTTAAAAGCATCAATGCCGTAATTGTCTGATAATTTGAGTTTTGTACTTGTTGGAAGTATAAGAACGTTATCTTTAGTGTTCGCTGTAGCCATACCTTCCGATAGCAATATTTTAAATTTTGCTTGGACAACGACGTTTTTCCATTCCCCTTTATTTGATTTAAAAATTGCGCCCTTACAATTGCCATGCTTATCTAGTGACCCCACCATTGTATTTGAAACATATGTTGTTTCGTTTATTTTTAAGTCTGTCACTACACCTCCTAGTGGAAAATTATAGGATTGTTTTTGATGGACCTCCGAACATCGAGCACTCCCTAGTTCGATAATGTCAGAAAAGTATCCACCATCCACCACTTGCGCATCTTCAAACGCCGAGCATCTTGTTATAAGATAATCCACAGATATTAAACATGATTTATACATAACTGGATACGTTTCAATGTGTTGCAATAATTGTATTCGTTGTATCTGTTGCGTTTCTGTTGGTGTTGGAATATCACATTTTTCTACTTCTAAGCTGTCAAATGAAGTGATATTTAGATTCGACCCTCCACAATCGTACGCAATAAATCCGAGAGTGACATTTATGATGTAAGAAATGACTATAAATAGTACTTGGATGAAATACATATTGACTGATTACCTAAAAAACCACAAAATATATAATATTTAATATATACATAATATTTATTACATAATATTTAATATAAATATATACCCAATTTTAAGCAATAAATAGTATTAAAAAAATTATTACCGGGGATGTGAATTTATTGTATTAAAAAACATTAAAAAATTAATTTCAAATTTCATAAAAAGCAGCCTGACCTTCACGATCTTGTGAAGTTAAAATGTTGACAAAAATGATTATTATTATTATATATATCTACACCAAACGACAAAAATATTGAAGAAAATGCACAAAATTAAAAAAAAAAAGCGGGTAAGTGGATGTCGCTCTGCTGTACAGTAGGTTACTAGAGGTCACTGTATAATGGAAGGTATTAATTTTGAATTCAATGATATAATATCATTGTATAAGAAAAACGATTCTGAGCGGAGACGGTATGTCAGTCTGGGTCAAAGAACATAAATATTAAACATTTCGTCCAAATTTGAATTTAAAATGTCTGTAAAAAAAACTGTGTTTATGTATTTTTTAGATTTTTTGGTTACAGTATGAACTATTTATGAGAATCTTTGTTTTAAATTTCCAATCTTTAGTTATAATAACTGAACATTTTATAATTTTTAATTACAGTGATTGATAATTTTCGATATTTTGATAAATTTTGTCCAAATTTGAACTTCAAATGCCTATAAAAAAAAATGTGCAAATGTATTTTTAATATTTTGCGACTGCTATTATAACAATATATCAGGAGCCTCGTATTAAATTTTCAAGCTTTTTCGCCCAACAAATACATTTTTATTGATATTTATAGAAAAAAAAAACTAAAAATATTGAAAACTGACAATGTCTGTAAACAGCTCAAAAATAGTCAAATTAATTTGAAAATTGAATGGTTTACCTATAGAAAATGCTAATATAAACATTCAGTAAAATTTTCAAATATATACAGTCATTCGTTTTTTAATTACAACAAAATAAGAAAATCGTTACATGAGAAATCGAGCGAATATCAAATGTTGTAAAAATATGAATTTCAAACGGTCATAAAAATTTAATTTGACTTTCTTCTAGAAATTTTTTTTTTAATAAAGGTGGAAAAACTAATGAGGAATCTTGTATTACATTTTAAAATCTTAGAATTAAAAAGAAAATTTTTTATGAATTTCTAACTTAAAATAATTTGCAATTTTTTGTCATTTTTATGTATTTTGTCAATATTTGAACTTTAAATGCTTATAAAAAAAATTGTGACTAAGGATTCTTAATTTTTCTCTTCTACCTTTAAAACAATATACTAGGAGCTTTCTATTAAATTTTTAAGCTTTTTTAACCAACAGATAAAATTTTATTGATTTTTATAGAAGAAAAAACTAAAAAATGTAGAAAATGAAAATGTCCGTAAATAGCTCAAAATAATATAAAATATTTTGAAAATTGTATGGTGTATAGAATATGCTTATATAAACATTCAGTAAAAATTTCATGTACCTACTGTCATTTTTTTAAATTAAATAATAAATACATGATATTTTTTCATAGTTTTAATAAATATAATAAAAAAAAAGTAAACTTATAAAGTCACTTATTCGTAAATTTACATAATATTTTGTCATACCTAGTTTTAATAAATACAGTAATTAAAATTATTAAAAAGTCATAATATGACTATAAAGTCATATTATGAGTACAAAATATTTACAAGGAGTATATTGATGGAAAATATATTTATCGAATATATTATATCGAACCTTTTTTAAATTGGCGAAAACGGGCGATGGCGAAATCGGCCATTTCAAATTTCGGCGGAAACGGTACATGCCCTATTTTTCAACTGCTATTGTAATAATATATCAGGAGCCTAGCATTACATTTTCAAGCTGTTTGCCCCAACACATACAATATTATAAATATTTATAGAAACAAAAAACTAAACAAATATAAATTTTAATTCGTCCTTCAAAAGCTCAACATTAATTAAAATATTTTCAAAATTGTATAATATATAGAAAATGCTAACACAGTGTACTCTCGGTAACTCAAAGCTCACAGGGAAAAAAAATTATTCGAATTACTAACATTTTAGATTTATCAAAATTATAATGTGTTATTATTGTTATTTGAATGAGAATTTTATTTGTTCGATATTTAAGGTTTAAATTACAGAGAGTACATTGTATAAACAATTAGTGAAAATTTCATATATCTACGATAATTTGTTTTAGAGTCACATAAAAAACCTAAAGATCAATACTCAGAATCTAAAATTACGAATTAGTTAGGTATTACAATTAAAAATAATTTCAAAAACCATTTAATTATTGTATTATAATATTAGTATAAATATATAACTTACCTGATTTTTAGAGTTTCCGTTTGTTTATATTAATTACGACGTGTATTCAACTTGGTTTGTTCTCGAACTGTGAAAGAACACTAACGACACTATGAACTGCTGCACTAATATTGAGATGATCACCACCCCTCAACAGAATCATATATGATATTTAAAATCTAAAATATTATCTTATATATATATATTGTAATGTTAAAAATGAAATGTTATAATTTCATCATGCAATGTTGTTAACGACGTCGCATCAATATTGCTTATGATAATTGTTTTAATAATATGATTTTATTTAATGAAATGTCATGATAATATTATGTACATAGTATTATAGTAATATCATGGATTAGAAGGTAGGTATATTATATACAATTTAAATTTTAAATAACCATAGATATCTATAATTTCGTATAATTGCGGGTAAAGACTGTAAAGTAATAAAAATAATCGAAACGCTAGCTGGTTCGTAACTAACCTAATACTTAATCAAACTTAACCTTTAAAGTGAAATGCTTGTTTCTAAACGACTTCGTGAAATAATTAAAAAGTTAACATAATGTAATAAATTAAACGATGTATTTTTCGTAAATCGTATTTATAATAGATTAAAATATTATACTTCTATACAGTACTATTTAATATTACAATTTATTTCAAATTATTTTTCATGTTGTTTTTTGTTTTAATATTTTCCAAAATGTGTTCAGGATCTTTTATATCATCTACTAGCAAACGTTTTCCATACTGAGGATTGATTATCTCTGGTAGTAAGCATTCCATGTAAAAACTTAAAAAAAAAGTCCAATGAATATACAATTAATAATCAAGTAGGTAACTGATACACAGACCCTGAAATTAAAACTTAAAAATTTTTAAAACTTACATTTTTAACTTGTCAATCATTTTGTTGTCCCAGAAAGATTCATCGTAATTTATTAATTGTATTTCCGTCCAATTTTTTGAGTGGACGACGAAATAACAGAATTTTCGTTTAGAAATGTGCATTTGTCCCTGAACTTGATAATAATAATGATGATCAATTTTTAATTCCATAGCTCCATTGTCATTGAGACGACAAAATAATAGCTATACAAAAAATGTATTAGGTATAACAAAATATAATAAAAAATAATGAAAACCTTTTACATTTCTTTGTACTAAATTTCTCTGATATTTTAAAAATTCGATTGATTATAGATTTGGTAGATTTTAGAATATTATAATATTATAGTTACTCACTTTTTTACAGTTTATCGCTTCCAAAAATGTAATTGAATCTCTGACTGCAAATGGACATTTGATTTCAACTACGAAATCTTCATCAATTATACCATCTGTGATGTAGGTATTATACAAAAAAATGTATTAATTAGTATTTTAATGTTTATTTTGGATTTTGATAAAATATCTAATGATTTCCGAATTATACATTACCTGGAGTTGTTGCTAAGTAAGGAAAATGTTCATCAATGATAAGTCCACATGGATTAACTTTGCATTTTAATATGTTTTCCAACGCAACAATAGCTTCTGGTTCGGTGGCTTTACCATAATCAGTTGCCTTTGAAAAAAAAGTTCGGTATAATATATCGTACACTGTTTTTTTACAAGACGTGGTTGGTCGTAATTTACAAACACGACCAAAATTTGATGTTGTAAGTCTATTTCTTCGTTCAGAATGCCAAATTTGAGAGTTAGCCTGTTGTCTAGTTAGTGTTTCAATATTTAAACGACCACTTCTATCTAATCGCAAAGAACTGATAAAATCTTCTTTTAATTTTTGTAATGTTTCTTTAGACATATTTTCTTCCACGGGTAGTGGTTCGGCCAAACCATAATGTTCATCTGGGCCAATATGACTTTTTTTCTTAATATTTGTTGGAAAAAGATGTTTTCTAGATTTCATTTGTACTCTTTTTTTTTCAGTCGATGTTATGAATTTCTTTCCTATAATACCTATATATAAATACAATTTATTATAAGGATATAATTTATAATAAGGTACAACAATATATTGTTTCATAATTTATTTTAATGTTACAAACAATTCTTTGAACACAATGTGTTCCGAGGGGAAGGGACCGACCCACATTATATGAAAGTATACCAAAAATGATGAAAAAATACCCTCTAAAGAGTGGGTCTAAATTTTTAATTTTTTAAGTTATGGGCAATTAATTTTTTTTTTATCAAAACCAAACTTATCACGAATTTTTTTTACGTATCTTTAAAAATGTTCAATAATTTTTTTTCATCTTAAATCTATTGAGTGCAAATATATTTTTATTAATTTGAAAATTAAACATTTTTCATAAAAAATTAGAATTTTTAAAAGGATTACTCTAAATAATTTAATATTTTCTACTGGTTAATTTCTAAGTGTTTACTCTTTTCAATTTAATAATAATAATTTGCACATTTCTGGTTTAATTTCATATGACAACGCCACGTAACCTAACCACCTACACCGCCTAACCACGGTCACTTCCCCCAGGAACACATTGTACATTATTTTTTAGTAAAATATTTGACACAAAAACGCATATGCTTCAAAGTTACCTGGGCTTATATCATTTACAATATTTTTGTGTAATAAACGAAGAAATTGTCCATTTGAATTGTACGATATTACTGCAGCTTCAACTCGAGAATTGTATGAATTTCTTTGAGAATAATTTATACGTTTACCCGCTAAATATTTATTAATTATACTATTAAATTGTTCACACACGTTGTTATCGACATTCATAAGTAAGCTATCAACATTTGTGACTAAACGAGATATTAGTTGAGATATATCACTCAAGAACCCTGATTTTTAGGCAGCTTCAATCATATTTTTTTCATTTGGTAAATTGTGGTTGGCGGACTTGCAAAAATATTTCTCACATCGATCATGACTACCCAAAATGTGACGAAAACTATTATTTATATCTTTCCGTAATCCTATAATAGTTATTTAACATAAACAATAATGCAATTAAATTCAATAGAACAGTTATATAAAAATCAAAATGATATCAACAAATTTAGTGTATTCCCTCAGCTTACCAACTTCTCTTTCGTTATCTGATTGCCCCTGTAAACTATTACGATATTCAATTGCCTTAGTTATGGCATATCTAAAACGTAAAATATTTGCCTTTATATGGTTTCTTAGTGGAATTGGATATTTTTTATTTATTGTCATTGCTGTTAATTTTGTACCATAATTTCGCAATAAATGACTCCGACATTCTATTTTTTTTACAAGCAGTCTACAACCATAAGGCATGATTTCAGCAAGCCTTTTTGAAACGCTTGAATCTCCATCTCCTGATCAAATTATTTAATTGTATAATATTTATTTATAATTAGGTATAAAGATATTTTAAATAGTAGATAGTTCAAACTATATACGAGTATTTAATTTTATTACTACCCACTGATATTATTTATTATTATTATTTGACCACGTATAAGTGACACAATCATAAATAGGTATAATTTGTAGATAATTTAGTCATTATAATAATGTTATTTCAAAGACAGTCATCGTGAACTATTCCGAAAGGGCCATTATTTATGAACTATAGTTAAGTCCACTACGATAAGTTAATAACTCATATTATAATGTTAAATTATTATGTATTAAAAATGTTAATGTATATTAATATATCGCGGTATTGCAACTCATATTAAAAACGTTATAACGTACCTATTAGTTTATTGTATTTGAGTCCGTGCTGTTCTACACTTTGTTTAAACCCATCAGCAATGGCATCAGCTTCCATGCTAGTAGCACCTTTTTTCCAATTCATAAAACATGTATGTTTAGGAGGAGATAACTTCTTATTTTTGGCTCTTTGGCAAATGATACAATATCGATTTCTAATACCCACAAATAAAATTTTTCTGGATTTGTAACCTATTATTGTTGCCTAGAAAAATACAAATGGTAATTTAAAACTGGTATCTACACGTATTTATACTATATAACATTATAATAATATGATTTATATAATATTACCACTCCAGATAATGCATCATATTTGGTCTTATAACTGCGCTTGGACCATTGTCCGTCAGCAACTACAGTGCACATAGGGACCACCAGCTTCTATTGCTAATTGACGTTCTTCATCGCCAGCAATTTTCATTTGTGCCTCAGCGACTTCATGTATTCTTTTGCTAATAAACTCTTGTACTGAGAGAAAAGTGGACGAAGACATACAAGGGATATCCATAACCGCACACAATTCGGATAATTGTGTAAAACCAATTCCAGCTGATATTGATCCGTTTACGGCGGCATCGTTTATCGGCAAAAAGGTTTCAGGTTTCATTTTTTCTGAGTTAATAAACATAACAATGTTACACATATCACACTGAAACCTAAATGTTGATCTAAGTCCGTGTCTTTTTTCAGAAATAAATGTCATGTTCAAAAATGAACAACCAAATGACCCTTGATGAACACTATTTTTAATTTGACTAAAAACGTAGTGTATATCTACTATTCGTCTTCCCGACCTTTCATTTACATCGCATGGCCTGTTGTAACATTTAAATAATAATGTTTAGTCTTTAAAATTGTTATAACCAGTTTGGTTCAAAATTAATAATAATTCCCGAATTAGTAGGCTAATCTATTCAATAAAATTTTAAATTAATAATCATACTTGGTTTCTTGATCATTATATATAGATTCATTAACTGTCAAGTTATGTACAACTTCTTCGGTACCCCAATCATTATCTTCATTGTCCTTGGAATCCATCATTTTGCTAAAAATATTTAAAAAAACATATGTAGGTATTATAAATAAAAAATAAAAATAATTGGTTTAAGTTATCATACAATGAAACGGCTATAAATTATTAAAATTTACCTAATCGTTTCCCTCGATGAGCATGGTGGTTGGTTGTCAGCACCTAAGAAAAAAGGTTCCGCAAAAACTTCTTCGACATCTGGATTGGGACTTCATTAACACAATTTTAGTGAAATTAATAATAATTCCCGAATTAGTAAGCTCATCTATTCAATAAAATTTTAAATTAAAAATCATACTTGGTTTCTTGATCATTATATATAGATTCATTAACTGTCAAGTTATGTACAACTTCTTCGGTACACCAATCATTATCTTCATTGTCCCTGGAATCCATCATTTTGATAAAAATATTTAAAAAAACATATGTAGGTATCATAAATAAAAAATAAAAATAATTGGTTTAAGTTATCATACAATGAAACGGCTATAAATTATTAAAATTTACCTAATCGTTTCCCTCGATGAGCATGGTGGTTGGTTGTCAGCACCTAAGAAAAAAGGTTCCGCAAAAACTTCTTCGACATCTGGATTGGGACTTCGTTAACACAATTTTAGTGAAATTAATAATAATATTTGATAATAATACTGCAATAAATAGTTATACTTAGTTTTGGCACGAATTCCTAGAATATTCATCACTCGAGAGCTTAGTGATTTTTTAACTGATAATTTTTTTGACGGGAAGCGACGAGTTGGTTTTTTAGGTTGTTCCATTTTCACGTTAAAAAACAATTAAAAAAATATAAAGCCGTAATAAAATTCCAGCGAGAATGTAAGTTATTACTGGTGTTAACAGTTGTACAGAATGACAATATTTGTATCCATTTACTTTGATATTTACTGTCATCGTTTATCATCAATAATTGAATAATTAAATAATTATTATGTAGATTCTTAAACTCTTTCATTTTACCAACGACGTGAATACGATTACAGATAAAAAATATAATAAAATTAATACGGATCAAGCGAATGATTGACATTCGCCGCATATAGGCTATATGGATTATTGCACTGTTGTATACATTTATTCAAATCGTATTAAAAGAAACTCACGATTACACAAATATAGATATCACACTTCAGTGTTGTCATTTGGGGAGCAGGGTGGGCATTTGTTCCTCCTTTATCTTTAGCGGGCCGCTATCAGGCCAGGGATGTGCTAGCTAGTTTTATACTTTTTTATATACAGTATAGCTTAGGTAGTATATGTAGGTAGAGTTATTATAGGTATATAATTATTACGGACAATTGTTTTTCTCAGTTCTATTATGGACCGATGTAAAATATTTGCCTCTCCCCTTCTCAAAAACTGAATATCGTTGGTGCATTGGGGAGGTCAAAATTTAAAATTCCCAGTAATTTTCAAAAGCTACAAGAAAAACAAAAGAAAAATTAAGGAAAAACTGGAATTTTTACGCAAAATCGATTTTTCAGAAAATTGAATTTGGTTTTTGGTGTAACTTTAAAACAAATGACCGTAGATACATAAAATTTTCACTGGTTGTTTATATTTGCATTTTCTATACACAATAACATTTTCAGAATATTTTGATTTATTTTGAACTGTTTAGGGACATTTTTATTTTTCATTTTTTTTTAGTTTTTTTTTCTAGAAATATCAATACAATTTTATTTGTTGGTTAAAAAAACTTGAAAATTTAATAGAAGGCTCCAAGTATATTGTTTCAAAGGCAGATGAAAATTAGCAAATTATTTTGAGTTAAGAATTCGTAAAAATTTTTCTTTTTAAATCTAAGATTTGAAAATGTAATACAAGATTCCTTATAAGGTTATCTACCTTTATCAAAAAAAAAAATGTCTATAAGAAAGTCAAATTAAATTTTTATGAGCGTTTGAAATTCAAATTTTTACAACATTGTATATTCACTCGATTTCTCATGTAGCGATTTCCTTATTTTGTTGTAATTCAAAAACGAATAACTATAGATACATGATAATTTTACTGAATGTTCAGATTAGCATTTCCTATACACTGTACAATTTTGAAAATATTTCGACTCTTTTTGAGCTGTTTTCAATTTTTTTAGTTTTTTATTCTATAAATATCAATTAAGTTTTATCTGTTGGGCCAAAAAGTGTAAAAATTTAATGCAAGGCTCCTGATATATTGTTACAGTAGCAATTGAAAAATATTAAAAATACATAGGCACAATTTTTTTTTATAAGCATTTAAAGATCGAATTTTGATTTGAATTGACAGATTTATTTTTTCATTAAAATTTCCTCTTTCCCTTATAGAAAATTTCAACGTTTATTACATATTACCGATTTACATTCCAATAAATGAACATGGTCAATTTCTCCATATGACTAAAAATTCTATGTATTTGTTAATGGACAAAATAATGACCAAATATTTTATTTGGCCAGATTTAAATAACTGTAAAGTACCTAGTGGATAAAATATTTGTTTGTGGATTTAATGAAATTATACATAATTGTGACACGGACCCCACATGTGTAACAGAATTACTAAAAAATTCTGTAACTAAACCACCTCAATGTTATACTTATATCTCTGAATTCAAAACAGAAATGTGGTATCCCTGATTTTTCAAAAATCATTGGTTTTTTGTATGTGAAAAACCCACTACAATTACTATAATTTGTAATAAACAGTCTTTCACTCAAAAAATTAAAATTAAAAGTTCTGGAAAGTTATACTTGAAGTCTGGGTGTATTGCTGCTTACACCTCGAAAAGTGTACTAAAAACTGAACAAGTATTAAATCAAACATCATATTTCTCAGTTCCAGTAGACTTATCTAATAATTAGCAGTGGCGTATTTACGGGGGGGGAGGGGGTCCATGGGGTCCGGACCCCCCCCCCCCCCCCCCATTGACTCGTGTCTCGTACATGTTAAATGTTGTGAAGTTTTTACATGATTAAAAAACAAATTTTATCATACTATTTTACGGATTTTATAAAAAATTTTCGAAGCTATAGTTGGTATATCAACATTTTCAATAAATATCTTGATTATTTTTATCAGTTGGATACCGAAAATGGTTGAAAAATACAAAGTTCATTTTTTAATTCAAATATTTTGTAGTTTTGTACATTGCCAGTATCTACAACCACTCCAGAGAGATCTTTTTCAACCTTTTTAAGGTTGAAAAGCTATCTAAGATCAACTATGAATGAAGTGGTACCTAATGTAATTAAGGAAATATTTGTATAAAAGTTATAACATAACTATATATTCGATTCTGAGTTATCTATTGGTTTTACAATGGTGTTTATTTATTTTTCCTGTATACAAAATTTCTTCCAGAAATAGTGCTTCGATTTCAACATGTATAGACATATAGTAACTTATCTTTTAGAAAATTGGATCAAGATAGTACTTTAGAGTTTAGAGAGGTCATTTTTCGATTTTCTCAATAGTTATTTAATGCCACTGTAAAAACCACCAAAAAATTACGAAAAACCGCTAAAAATGGGATTTTAATTTCTAACACGTAACTTTGTCTATCACTATGGAAAAGAATAAAAAAAAAATATTTCATTATTAATTCAACTTACAGGCTATAATAAATAATAACAATATAAGACTGACAAACCGTCTTCGCTCAGAATCGTTTTTCTTATACAATGATATTATGATATTAAGGTATGTCCACACTAGTGCGCTTTCGTCTTCAACTTTCTATTCAACTCGCGTTTCAACATTCAATTCATTTTGCGCTTATTGCATGCCTCTGTTGAACGAATCATACGCATGCCCTTCTTCTGTCCACACTACGTCGTCATCACGCAGTCAATTTCCAGCGTTTTAATAGAAAACATGTCGGATTCATCGTTGCTTCTTGTGATTAGTGCGGCGTATCTAATTATTGCGAGTGCGAAGAAAAGGAGTGATAAAAAAAAGCGTTCCATATGGATGAAAAATTATTTAAAAACACGACATTTTGGTATCATTGATGATTTGCAATTAGATGAAGACATTGTGTTTAGAAACTTTACGCGAATGTCCAGAACGAATTTCTACTATCTGTTAAAAAAAATCGAGCCGGAAATAGAAAAACAAAACACTCGTTTTAGAGAGGCAGTACCAGCTAAAATTAAGTTTTTAATAACCATCAGATTTTTAGCTACCGGAGATTCGTTTTCATCCCTTATGTATTTATTCAAAGTTTCCAAGCAGTTTATTTCAGAAATGTTGCCAACTGTTCTGAAAGCTATAGTGAATGCTCTACAGAATTATATCAAGGTAAGTGAATGTATTTATAAAATTAAACATAGTTATAAAGGTAAAAAAGGTATAACATTTTATAATTGATTACACAATGGCGTTTTAATATATAAATTAATTTGAGATTTTAATATTATATATAACAAAATTAAGAATACACTTTACGTTTTAATATGTAAAAAAAAATGAAGAATAAATTTTACGTTTTAATATATATAAAAAAATTTAGAATAAGTAAAAATATGTATGTGAAATTACTCATCATTGCGTGTTCTGAATGACAAATACTCGTTGAGTTCATGTGTGGTCGGGTGATTAGCAGTGTTCACCATGAGGCCAGTTGAATCATCATATGTAAAAGAGTGACTGTCACTTTCACAAGTGTCAACTGAGGTTGCCGGAGATTCAGGCGGCAATGAACTTTGTCTTCCACTCGTCTCTATTTCTTTCATTTGTAAATCAAAGAGCATATTGGTTACCTCACGTTTGGCTAATATTTGATTTAAAGGTTTGAGTTTTCTGATATTATCGGCTACAAAAGTTCCAAACGTACTCCATTCATCTCTTCTCTCAATTTCATCAGCCGCTCTTTTCATAAGTTTGTACGCCTCGTCTTCTCTCTCATCCCGATTATTTCTTTTCAAATTTATTTTTGTCCTTATTGGCTGAATAAACTCGTGTTCTTCTATGACAGGATGCGATTGGTTGGAGATATTCCCATTTCCACATGGTAGTTCATCTTGTACGTCCTGTGATGATATTAAATTTATAAAAATGAGCTGATACAGGAGTTGGGTGGGATACACGAGATGCATTGATAGGTTAGGAATTTTAGGATACATATTGGGATAATTTTATTTTATAAAAAAAATGTATAAATATATTAATATAAACATAATCTTATTTAACGCATACATTTTTAAAATTGAAGCATTATTTCGACTACTGCTGGTGTACACAGACACAAAAAAAAACACATATCATTAGTAATTCAGTACATTTTTCACTTCGTTCAGAATCTAAAATAAAATATATAATTCCACTAATTACGGGTACCCAGATAAAAGGGCAAAATAGTACTTTCAATTAGTGTTCAGATTTATAGACAAGCATTATACATTATTGTTCTTAAAAAAGTTTTATTTATTTACTAACAGCTACCCTCAAGTGATCATGAATGGAGATCTATCGCAGAAGAATACAATAAACGATGGAATTTTCCTCACTGTGTCGGCGCCATCGACGGCAAACACGTCGTAATTCAGAAACCAGAAAACACAATAAGCGAGTTTCATAACTATAAAGGAACAGACAGTATTGTTCTATTGGGAATAGCGGATGCTAACTACTGTTTTACGTATGTCAACGTTGGATGTCAAGGCCGTATCTCAGATGGAGGCGTATTTAAAAATACTTCGTTCTCTAAGAAACTCGAAAAAAATGAACTTGGTTTACCGGAATGTGAAGCACTGCCTGGTCGTATGATGAAACTTCCTTATGTCTTAGTTGCCGATGATGCGTTCGCCTTATCTGAAAATATTATGAAACCATACGCCACAGATTTGAACAAAGGATCCCCAAAAAGAGTATTCAACTACAGGTTGTCCAGAGCGCGTCGTATTATAGAAAATACTTTTGGGCTGCTTTCAGCCGTGTTTAGAATATTCCGCAAACCCATAGAAATAAAAGTTGAAGAAACAATAGTTAACATTGTTTTGGCTTGTGTTTACCTTCACAATTTTTTAAGAATGCAGCCCGATTCCGCAAAGTTTTATTCAACATCAGGGTGTTTTGATAACGAAGATTGTAGCACAGGAGAAATTATTCCAGGATCATGGAGAGAAATAACCTCTGGTGACACTGGTTTAAGACAACTTAGATCAATTCCACGAAAACCAGCGTCCAACGCAACAAATATCAGAGAAGAATTTAAATCATACTTCATGTCTGAAATAGGATCATTACCATTTCAGGACAAATACTTGTAAAATATTTTAATTAATTATACAATATTAGATTATAAGAACTTATGATGCAAATAAACTAATAGACTAAACTACTGCAAGCTAGTCTGATGCTGAGTATACTATATAAAATGCACTAAGAAAGAAAACTTACTTCTTCGTTGTTATTTAGGCTTGCAGGGTTATCATCTTTCTCACTTTCCTTAGTCTCCCTTGGCGTTGTAGCGTCCGAAATAAAAAGTAGCGATTTATATGCGAACCACGAGGACGTATAGTTTTCATCCGTTCCTGAACCGGATTTCTTTTTTAAAACTTTTTGGCGTTCTTTAGAGAAGTATGAACGCAAACTCTTTATTTTCAATTTTACAGCTGCCGTGTCCATATTACATTTTTTGCTGATCTCGTCAAGAGCATCATTTCTTTTAATTTTATTAGTGTAATCTTTATGATTGTTATCCCACAGTAACTGGAACGATCTACATTAATAATGATAAATATAAATAATTTTTATTATACTATATTATATTATTATTATAAGAAAAAGGTCAGTAAGTGGATGTCACTCTGGTGTACAGTAGGTTACAAGTGAGTCACTGTAATGTATAGTGTTAAATTTTAATTCAATGATATTATTACATTGTATAAAAAAAAACGATTCTGAGCGAAAAAATAAAAAATAGTCGAATAGACGACAACTGATAACTATCGACTGCAAAAGTGCAACAAATTTCAAGAATAATAAAATAATATTTTATAATATCAAGAATAAGTCAATACATACGGACTACGGGTAAAAGTTTACATACTTATGTGTTGTACAGTCGCGCAATGCACTGATAGTAGATAAACACATCTATTTTTAACATTCGGTGTAATCGAAGAGTCGACGTCGTCGTCGTCTTATCTTTAAATATTATATAATTATATAATATAATAATATTATATACAAATATATTTTTAAAATAATAAAAATACTATTAAAATACTGACGATGCCAAATTGCCGACAACTTTTTATTGAATTGTAAATCAAACCATAATTATTATTTATTAAACTTAATAATAAACATTTAATTTTTAACATTAATATTGATGCTATTTAATTATATAGATTATTTTATTATTATAATTAATTTATAGTTATTTATATAATATACTAGTACTTACCTATATTCTTCGATGAAACTTAATGTCTGAGACTGGTCTTCAGCCATATTTTATTTATTTATTTTATTATAAATTTAATGTATAAATTAATTGAAAATTCGCAGCACGCACGTTGAATTGAACGAATTCCCACTAAGCTCGGGAGAGCTTGCGCTATAGCATGCGTCACGAAATTAGACCCGTTCAACTTGATAAGGCATGCGCTGTTGCATGCTTTTCTGTTCAACTCTCCTTGCGCTATGACGCATGCCCGTAACGCACGAAAGAACGCACTAGTGTGGACATACCTTTATATCATTGAGTTCAAGTTTAATAAATCCATTATATTATACATTGACCCACTTGTAACCTACTGTACAGCAGCAGAGTGACATCCACTTAAACGCTTTTTATTAAATTTGTTTTGTACATATTATTATTTAATAATTAAAAACTCAAAAATTTTATATCGTCTTATAAATATGGTATATTATATTTAATAAAGAGTAAATGGGTGGTGTGTGGGACTTCGTCCCCCGTGGCTCTGTGTTCTGAAAATTATCTGGACCCTCCCCATGACAAATTCCTAAATACGCCACTGAATTAATTAGTATGTATGTATTTTGTTTATCTTACTTTTTTTCTACACTTATATATTGTATAAATATATTTTATTTTATAACATACTTTAATAAAATTGTTCAAATAATCAAATGTATAATAATATGTATAATTGTATTGAAATAAATCACCTTTATAAATTTTATTTTATTTGTTACTTTTAAACTTTTAAAGTAATTACTAATTTGTATAGTTGTGTTGTAACGGTATCTAATACACTAATTATTTGATGAGATAAGTTTTAATTTTTATAAATTCTTATATTTTTAACACAATAAATAATATATATTATATAGAAATTATGTTTAAATGTTTTTGAAGAGGTTTTTATAGATGTTTTATATTACATATAGGACTCGATTTTCGATATTTCATTTTCAAAATCCATAAAATCGTTTTGCATTTTTTGTTTTTTGTTTTCACTTTTTTGATTTGTGAATAATTGGTATAATAAATTAAAATATCAAAAATCTAGTCCTATACGTTAACAGATTTAACTCTCCTCTATAACTTTTATAATAGGTTTTTTGCTCTAAAACAGTTAGCCGTGTTTTTGGAACTAAAAAAATAAGTTTTTTCTCACAGCCGCGGCTGTCACGGCAATACGGTAATGTAAGGACGGTTGCGGGCATCGTAATAAATCGAGCATAATTTTATTTTGTTTTATTTCACGTAAATAATAATAATATGAAAATAATGCAACGACCGGCGAAGCGCGGACCGCCGATAACAGACCGGTTTTGACCTGTCGGCGGCGAGCGCGCCTGGATGTCAGAGCTAGGAGGGGACAAACGCTGCCGCTAGAAACGACAGCAGCACATGACGGCCGCAATTAAATTTTTTTTCTGTAAAACATGCCAATTTTGTTCCAATAATACGGCTTACTGAATGGTTTTAGAGCAAAATACCTTTATTAAAAGTTGTAGAGAAGAATTATATCCGGTGCGTGTCGAGACTCGATTTTTGATATTTCGTTCCCAAAATCGATAAAATCGTTTTGCGTTTTCACTTTTTTTCACTTTTTTACATGTGAATAATTGGTATAAAAAATTAAAATATCAAAAATCGAGTCTCGACACGCACCCGATATAACTCTTCTCTACAACTTTTAATAAAGGTATTTTGCTCTAAAACCATTCAGTAAGCCGTATTATTGGAACAAAATTGGCATCTTTTTGTACGGTATTTTTGCCCGTGTGGCGTCCTCTTAAAGAAATCTGTTATTTTAGATTGAACTTTGTTAGTATAGAAATCACGCTCTATTTTTTTTTCTAGTTCTTCAAAATTTATCTTTGGACTTACGTTATTCAGAGCCATATAATTTGCTAACATCTTTGCTGCATTGAACACTGCATTAATAGATAAATCTCCATCGGGAGTATCAGCTTCTTCACTATTATCGTCTTCCTCAGGTTCTTCGGGTTGGTTAATCAATGAAGAAATAATTTCTTGATCACTTAATGGTTCTGAAGTTAGCACATCATTGTCAAAGTTAACATATTAATTTATGTTTGGGAAACTTATGTCTTCTTCTTGTTCTCCTTGGACAGTTTCTTGTGGTATTGCATTATTGAAACCAGCGTGACGAAAACAATTTCGTATTGTAATCTCTGATACTTTTCCCCAAGCTTTAAAAATCATTAATATACCATCTAATACGCTGATATTCGCTTCAATTTTTTTTTCAATATTATTGATCATATTTAGCACCAAACTTTTTCGAAAATAAGTTTTCATACATTTTATTACGCCTTGATCCATTGGTTGAAGAACAGACGTACAATTACTGGGTAAAAATACAAGTTTAATATTGCGTAATGCTACAGTGCAATGTGCTGGACAGTTGTCAACTAAGAGCAACATTTTTTCTTTTTTTCTTCCTAACTCTAAATCCCAATTTAATAAAATTTTAGACCATAATTCTGCGGTCATCCAAGCTTTGGAGTTAGATTCATATGTTACCGGTAGACAGTCACTATTGATGTTTTTGAAACATCGTGGATTACGGGATTTTCCAATTATGATCAGTTTCATTTTTTTACCAGTCATACTTGCTGAAACTAAGACAGTTAGACGTTCTTTGGACATTTTACCACCTGAACATTTTTCTCCTTTAAATTTTAATGTTCTGTTAGGAAGCATTCTGTAAAAAAGTCCAGTCTCATCTGCATTATAAATTTGGTCATCTGTGTATCCTTCTCGTAATTTAGGCCATACTTTTTCGAGCCAATTTTGTGTTATTTCAGTATTGACCGAATTTGATTCTCCGTTTATTGTTGAAAACACAATATTATGCCTCGCTCTAAATCTTTGAATCCAACCAGTGGAACAATTAAAATTATGCTTACCAAGGCCTTCAGCTAATTCATTGGCTTTCTGTTGAAGAATTGGTCCATTAATTGGAATGCATAGATTTCTTTGATTTTTAAACCATCGTAATAAAACATTATCTAAATCTGTATGTGTACAATTTCTGAGTTTCTTAACTGATAATTTTTCATTTTGAAACTCTTGTTCGATTTTGTCTCGAGCTTTCCATATGTTGGAAATTGTAGAGTGACCTACGCCTAATTCATTAGCTATGTCGGAATTTTTTTTCACCTTTTTTTAAACGAAAAATGACATTTGCCTTTTCTTCGATGGTGAATTGCTTTCGAATGCTCATTTTACAATTTCACAATACAATTTAACACACGAACACTAAACACATTTAATCGCACGAAAATTACCCGTACACTGACGATAAAATAAAACTGACGACTGAACAACGATGAAATTATCGGTATTATCGGTATTGTAATAGTACCTTCGATTAAGTAAAGTCATTATAGATAAAATATTTTTCCAATATAACAAAAAATAACCGTCATAACATCCGTATAGTCACTATACAGGTGTCATTATAATCGATACAAATTAGTACATACAATATAGGAGTTTTGCCGGGACTTGCAATCTAAGGTCATTACACCCAGTATGTCATTACAACCGGTGTCATTATAAACGGTTTCTACTGTAGTTAGACTACTTAGGCTAAAATACACGCGTACATCTTCGAATACAATATACAATAATAAATAGCGTAATACATAATTTAATAACTGGCTCCTAATAGTAGTTAAAAAATATTAATTATACAAAGTCACACTTTTTTTTTACAAGCATTTAAAGTTCGAATTTTGGCAACATAGAAAATACATAAAAATGAAGAAAATGTGCAAATTATTTTATGTTAGAAATTCATAACAATTTTTCTTT